GAATTCAATTAAATGGGTCAAACTTCAGTTTGTGCACATGATCACAAAAGCCTTAGTGTTTAAGGATAAAACAAAATTAAAGAGGAAAAACAAAAGAATACAATTAATTTTCCTTGGATGAACTCAAAATAGATATACAGGTCAAAGGCACTAAAAACACCTAGAAAAAAGTTTATTTCTTGTCTTGTTAAATGTATTAATATCATTGTTTCGTTAAGTTTATTTCCCTACTTTCTGCTATTCTAGCCAAAACTCAAACTATTTGAACATTTTCTCCAAAACAAGGAAGGAAAAAAAAATCCCAATTTCGAGGAGATATTCAATCTCATAAAGACAAACTTGCAAATGTATAATAAGTTTACATGTAACTAGAAAAAAAATCCACAAGGCCGTTAATGTGAACGAAATTGCTAATTAATTTGCAAAGAAAATCAACTGTACTCACCGTTAGTCTTACCTCCAAGGCAGTTCGTTAAACTTGGTTACACCTACTGACGAAACAAGAACAACCCTCTTCACTGACGAAGGAAGAGCAGATACAAGATTTTTCACACCCTCCCAATCTTCAAAAGAAAACATCTAGTCAAGACTCAAAAGTAACGAAAGCAGATTTAGCACGATCGACGCTTCACGCACGTTTTTTTTTTTGTGTGCCTATGCGTGTACAGCTTCATGTTTTAAAAGATGTTACGTAATGCATCTGAAGTTCTACAAACAAAGATTTCATAGTTTTTGTTTTCCATTCCATGCCATACTTTATATCAATACCGTAGCCAAGAAGTTCAGATAGTTAGGTAATCTCACCTACTCTTTCTGGAGTGTTATCTCCATCCCACCGTTTCGAAGGAAAAGCCGTTGTCCCGGTGCAGCATATGACATGTGTGACTCCCTGCAAGACAATGTAATATAACCAAGGCAATTCAGTAAAGAAATCGCAACCACGAACCCACATTCTAGTGTTGTGCGGAAAGCTAAAAAAGCACGAACCTCAAAAATACTTGGATCTAGATCTCCTGGGTTCCGAGTGTCTCCTGTGAATACCTGTCAAGTTCAAAATCTCTGTAACTTCCTTCAGTGGGGGAAAAAAAAAAAAAAAA